ATATCATTCTCAGTATATCGACACTACTCCAACAATATCTGGTGTGTCCTGTACATGTAATACAATACATCATATATCAGTCAGTACATCGACACTAGTGCTGCTCAATTGTATGATATCTGGTGTATCGTGTACATGTAATACAATATACCATATCATTCAGTATATCGACACTACTCCAACAGTATCTTGTGTATTGTGTACATGTTATACAATATACCATATCAGTCAGTATATCGACACTACTCCAACAATATCTGGTGTATCGTGTACACGTTATACAATATATCATATCATTCTCAGTATATCGACACTACTCCAACAATATCTGGTGTATCCTGTACATGTAATACAATACATCATATATCAGTCAGTATATCGACACTAGTGCTGCTCATGATATCTGGTGTATCGTGTACATGTTATACAATATGTCATATCATTCTCAGTATATCGACACTACTCCTACAGTATCTGTTGTATCGTACGAGTACATGTAATACAATACATCATATCAGTCAGTATATCGACACTACTTCAACAATATCTGTTGTATCGTGTACATGTAATACAATACATCATATCGGTCAGTATATCGACACTACTCCAACAATATCTGTTGTATCGTGTACATGTAATACAATACATCATATCGGTCAGTATATCGACACTACTCCAACAATATCTGTTGTATCGTGTACATGTAATACAATATATCATATCGGTCAGTATATCGACACTACTCCAACAATATCTTGTGTATCGTGTACCTGTAATACATCATATCAGTCAGTATATCGACACTACTCAAACAATGATAGTGGGGCAAAATATGATCAAAGGGAACATTCAAATGGAAACCATTGTTAAAGTAAGTATAGTATGAATGGGGCCGGGTTAAATTTAGAGTAATATTCTTGTAACTATAGTGATCTAATTGCAATGACATATAAGTAACTTCGCATGAAGAAAGAACAATGAATCGTAATATTCTTAAATATTATGTATTACTTAAAATGTCAAAGTAGTAAAAAGCAAATTACCTTCATGTCTAATGGAATGCAGGTTCAAAGTTGAAACCACAGGACAGCAGGAAATAAGAAGACACATTAAGACCCACACAAACACTGGAGGCGGACCAAAGTGCTACAGTACAATACTAAGGCAAGTGGTTCCTCCAGTACTGGTAATATATGGCACCAGCTATTTTAATATCCATTACTAGTTTCCTAGGAGAGTACATACGATAATTGTAATTGACAGCACTAGCATATATTTATTAGCTATAAAGTAATAATTTTATTAAATACCGAATACAAATTCTGCCTTGTAGATTCAAGCGGATGATATAAACTTCATAACAACCGCTGCTCTATTGGCTTTAATCAATATGTGTACTGTTGTCATTTTGTAAAATGAAGTAAAGTTAAAGTTGAAAGTATCTCTTGGTCCGAATATAAGCAAAAGACAAACTAAACTAGATTTCACAATTACACAATACTAATTTGAGCGAGAATATTGGCGATTTCATATTTGTCTTTTTTGTTTACAGAGTAGAAGATCTCCTTTTTGATACTTTACAAGACACTCTGTAAATTGACTGATGTTTTTATATTGTTGTAGAACTTTCACGTTTCATATTGTCATTTGTGTTTTGATTGTCATACTGAGGCTGTGTACTTTGCTCATTTGTTAAGAAGAAACGTGAAGGTATCACGACAGATCTGGTCGGTTTCAAATAGTCGTCATCATCACCAGAAGACAAGTTTTCTGCCGTGCTTGACATTTTGGAATGGTCAATATTGTGTGTATTTCCTACTGGATGGAGATAATCATCCTTCTCATCATCAGGATAATCAACTTCCGGGAAAGATGATGGAGTCTTTTCTGCTTTTGAGTTCATATCTGGTAGAGATGGAAGTGCACGAGGCAAATCTGAGTCATGATCCCTTGATTGTTTGACGTCCGCCATATCGACCGCACTTATGTATCCTTGATCGCCGGTGTTATCCATGTCACCCTCAGTAACCTTGTCTGGTATATCTGTATAGTCGTCCCCATCAGCTGACCTCCCCACAGGGTTGATATATCCTCCATCATCTGGCCTTTTTAAATCGTCCAATATTTCCAAATAGACGTCCTCTTCCGGTGCATCAGGCAGCCCTCGGGAAGCATACCTTGTCGGATCGCTCGAATAACCCTCATGCTCATGTCTGTTATTGTTTAAACTTATATTGTTTACACCAGAGTTTCTCTTACCATTCCTGGAATTAAAATTCAATTACTCATCTTTGGAATTTAATTTCATCCTGCAATGTATCATAATAATTCACCATCTTTTCGTAACAATAATAAAATTAACATGTGTTATTTGATTTGATGTACTGGTGTAATGGCAGTTTTAAATAGGATTTATTCAATGTTGACTTTCATTCAAGAGTGTGTAAGTATTCAATGTTACCTTTTCCTTTTCATTATGTAAACTATCCCGATGGCAAGTACAACAAATGGAACAGCTAACAGGCTCAGCAGGTATACTATAACGAAACCAATAAGTTAAACATATGGAACGCCATAGCTGTCATATATGGCATAAAATAATAAATGAATTGTATGCCGTATGTGACAGCTATGGCGTTCCATATTAACACACAAATACTGGAACATTCAAGTGAAGAAATAACCTCCATAATAAATAAAATGACACTTTTTTCGTAAATAATACATGTACATTTAACTGCATTTACCTTTTTGGGTCTAGATAGGAAATCTTATTACGACATATTTAAGTCAACATGACAAAGATCAACACCTTTTAAGGTAGAGAGTCACAACGATTTGTGCTGTATTTGCAATGAACAAGAGTTTCAAATTATTCGGCATTTATATTTTACTAAAAGTTGCCTTACAATTTATTACAGAAATGATATATAAACGAAAGAAGTATATTTTATGGAACGCCATAGCTGTCACATATGGCATAAAAATATTATATGAATTGATATTTTCATTATATTATATGATTGCATCAATATATGATTTAATTTTATCATTATATTATTCTATTTTATCATTATATTATTCTATTTTATCATTATATTATTTGATATCAGCAATATATGATTTGATTTTATCATTACATGATTTGGTTTCCATTGTATTGTAAGCTTTCATCACTATATTATTTGATTTTATCATTATATGATTTGATGTTATCGTTATATGATTTAGTTTCACCATTATATAATACACTGTTGTCGTTATATTATTTTGTTGTATAGTTATATTATTCGATTTCATCAATATATGATTGAACTTTATCGTTATATTATTTAGTTTCAACACCATATTATATGCTTTCGTCATTATATGATTTAGTGTAATCGTTATATTATTCAAAATGTTATCCTTATACTATTCCGTCATCATATTATTCACAAACATCTTGATGATTGCACAACTTCATTATATTATTTTACAACTTCATTATACGTTGGATACGATTCTGACAAGCGTCTCCATGAATCCGAAGTAAACGGAACTTTTCACTGGGGCCTTTTTCTGCCATGTTACTTCCGCCATTTCATGGTTATTGAGAAGAAGTCGTTTAAAGATTTTAGCCTTTTTGACCCCTGTGACATTGAATGTAGGTCAATGTCATTTATTTGAACAAACATGGTAGTCCTTAAACCCCAGCATGCTACAGGCCCAATATCAGGTCTCTGGGCCTCTCTATTATTGAGAAGAAGTTGTTTAAAGGGGAAAGTTGACGCTGGACGGACGCCGCACCACGACAAAAGCTCATTTGCCCTTCGGGAAGGTGAGCTAAAAATATAGGTCAGTGACCTACTTTTGATACATGACACACCGCCTCACCTAAGTAAACTCATGCCCGAGGTATGAAGTTACAATGGCAAGGAGTGTATGTCTGGGATAGAACCAAGGCGGAAGGACAGGAGGATGGAAGAACGGACGGGTACAACGCAATCAACTACCATATCCAGGATTCAATCCAACAAAAGACGCTATTAAATCTAGCGAAATATTTCCACCCGAATATAAAGTATACAGAAATGACAGAAGAACCCTAGGAGGAGGTGTATTCATTCTAGTGAAAAAACCCATAACATCAGTTGAACAACCAGAATATGTTACAGACTGTGAAGTAGAATGGGTGAAAATCAAGCTTCGGGGAAACAAGGACCTCATTATAGGTTCCTTTTACATGCCGCATAGAAACAACATAGACTTAATGGAACTGGATAAAGGACTGACACAGATTTTGGACTGAAAAAGCAAAAATTTAATATTGGTTGGAGATTTCAACTGCCCTGACATTTGCTGGAACAACATGACTGTAAACCAGGATGGACAGGATAAAGAAACACGAAACCTGCTTATCAACGTAACAACAGGAGCAGATCTGACACAAATACATGACCAACCAACACGTGAAAACAACATGCTAGACCTCATATTTACTACAAACCCAAGCCTTGCAAAGAGCTCATACAGTGTACCAGGAATATCAGACCACGAAATGGTAGTTACGGACATTCAAACAAAACCTCACTACAATTCCTCACCAGCGAGGAAGTTCTATCAATATTCATGTGCATCTTGGGATAAACTAAAAGAAGACATCACCAAAACATCGAATAAATTAGATCCTGACTACCAAAATGATGCAAATGTCAATGAACTCTGGAGAACATTTAAAGAGGATTTGTGTAATGCTATGGACACCCACATACCATCAAAAGTTGCAGGAACACGAAACAAACTACCATGGATGAAATCTAAAGAGCGGAAAATGATTAAGAAAAAAGAAAAGCTTTACCAACAGGCCAAAAGAACTAATAATTGGAAGAACTATAGACACCATTTTAAAGGGAATGCAAAAGAAACCACAAGAGAGCAAAATGGAAGTACATTAACACCAACATTCTAAAAGGTCTCGAAAATAACAACAACAAACCGTTTTGGAAATACATTAAATCAAAAAAGCAAGACTCAATAGGAGTAGCCCCCTAAAAAGCAAAGGTACTCTCATCAGTGACAGTCAATCAAAGGCGGATATATTAGTCCAACAATTTAAATTGGTATTCATCATCGACAAAGACACCAACATACCAGAAACAACAAAACGTGTACAGGACACAATTCCGAAACTATACGTAGATACAAACGGTGTTGCAAAACTACTCAGGAACTTAAACAGGACCAGATGGAATACCAAACAGAATCCTCAAAGAATGCGCGACAAAAATATCATTAGAACTCACAAAAACATTCCAAAAATCACTTGACTTGGGAGAACTGCCAGCATACTGGAGAAATGCCAACATCTCATGCATATTTAAAAAGGGAGACAAACACTCTGCGTAAACCTATCGACCAGTGTCACTTACATCAGTCCCCTGCAAATTTCTGGAACACATCATCTGTCGACACATGCCAAAACATCTTGAAACACATAAAGTACTCGCCAATCTAAATCACGGCTTCAGATCTGATTATTCCTGTGAGACACAATTACTCTTGACTATAAATGACTTCTTAAAAGCGCACGACAATGGGAACCAGTTGAATGTAGCAATACTAGACTTCTCCAAAGCATTTGACACAGTACCACACCATAAACTCCTGCATAAAGTCGCGCAGTACGGCGTGCGAGGGCAAGTGCACAACTGTCTGACGTCATTCCTAGCACAGAGGAAAATGAAGGTTGTACAACGTCACAGGAGGAACACGTCGCCTCCGGAGTGCCTCAATGGACGGTATTAGGACCACTCCTTTTCCTCTGCCACATAAATGACCTACCAGACTCAGTCAAATCACAAGTACGCCTGTTCGCCGACGACTGCCTTTTGTATCAACAAATCAGAACATTCAACGACCATAACATCCTCCAAAATGACCTACAAAACCTTGAAGAATGGGCAGATAAATGGGGCATGAAATTTAATGCCAAAAATGCTACATCATGTCAATTAGGAAAAAAATATCAAAATTCTACAGTTTGAATAACCACATTTTGGAAGAGGTACAAAACAATCCATACCTAGGACGCCAAATATCAAACGACCTCAAAAGGAGTACTCATTTAAGCAACATCGCGAGGAAAGCGAGCTCAACTTCAGGCTTTTTGAGAAGAAATTTAAAACACTGCCCAAATGAGTGTAAGAAAACAGCATATATACCACGTATTAGATCATTTCTGGACTATGGCAGTATTATTTGGGACCCTCATCTAAATTCAGACATTGAAAAACTAGAGAGAATACAAAGAAGAGCAGCTCGCCAAATTACTGGAAATTACCAAAGTCGGGATGAAGGATGTGTCACAGAATACAACTAGCAACCTTACAAAACAGAAGGAAATCACAGCGGCTAGTATTCATGTACAAAGTAGTTGAGGGGTTAATACCAGCCCTACCCCCAGATCAGATAATCCAGCACTCTGGAAGGACGCGAAAAACAAACACAAAGCGTTATGTGAACTATGAAACATCAGCAACATTAAACAGAAACATTGTCAACAACTCAAGGCCATTAATCATCCCAGGATACAAACAGGAAACATACAAGCACTCCTTCTTCAAAACATCGCTTGAGTGGAACCAACTGGATGATCTCGTCGTGTCATGCCACTGTTGGTAACTACGACGTATACAATGTAAATAAATCCGGCCAGCCCCCCAGAATGTACTGACATCTGTATGTTGCTGTCTAATGGTGGAGGAAAGCCTCAATGTAAAACCACGCCTTCTATAGGATTTCAGCCTACTCAGTACTCACTAAATCAGTATTTTTTTACAAATAAAACACTACTTTTTCCTTTGGAAAGATAAGCCTAGGCCTATATGCTGCCTTACATTTGAGGTTTAAGCTATACTTACAAATTACATAGGCAGCACCGCTTCGTTCGTCAGAAATGGCGGTATTAACGTAGTTACATGGCAGAAAGAGGGCCCGGTGAAAAGTTCCGTTTACTTCGGATTCGCGGAGAAGCTTGTCAGAATCGTATCCAACGTATAATAAAGTTTTACAATAATATAATGAAGTTGTGCAAGCATCCTGATGTTTGTGAATAATATGATGACGGAATGGTAAAATGATAAAATATCGAATAATATAACGGTTACACTAAATCATATAATGACGAAAGCATATACTATGATGTTGAAACTAAATGATATAACGATAAAGTTCAATCTTATATTGATGAAATCGAATATAATAACTATACAACCAAATCATATAACGACAACAGCGTATAATATAATGGTGAAACCAAATCATATAACGATAACATCAAATCATACAATGATAAAATCAAATTATATAACGATGAAAGTTTACAATACAATGGAAACCAAATCATGTAATGATAAAATCAAATCATATATTGCTGATATCAAATTATATTTTGATGAAATCATATAATATAATGGTAAAATCATATATAATGATAAAATCAAATCATATATTGGTGAAATCAAATCACATAATGATGAAATCAAATAATATAATGATGATATCAAATAATATAATGATATAGTCGAATAATATCATGATAAAATCAAATCATATATTGATGCAATCATATAATATTATGGAAATATCAATTCATATAGTATTTTTATGCCATATGTGACAGCTATGGCGTTCCATAATATTTGTTATGATTTCCTTATTGGTTCAAAAACAGAGAAGTTTATACACAACGCTACCGTCGTGGTAGTTGCTATGTTTTATACTTTTCTGCAACGTTACTGGGCACCAATTCAAAATGATACGACTCTCTTAAAATACCTTCTTCTAACACATTGTCTTTGTTTTACCATAAAAGAAATAATATTAACATTTTGACAAAATAAAACCTGTTACGGTCTGTTCAAGGTAAAAAAAAATCACTGGGGCTCTCTACCTGTATAATGATATTTAAAACATTGTACTATTTTTTTTAAATGATATGAGAAAGGACGTACGAGATGTTGGCGTGGATGTGGTCGGTGGTCCAGAAGAACTAGGGACGAAGTCAAGCGTTGTGCTACTGGTGACAGGCAATGTAGAAACAGTACGGGTAGTAGAAGTCATGGCTATCGTGGATGATGTAAAATCACTACCATTTACCTCACACACTATAAGCAAATAAAGAGGAAGACAAAAGAAAATGTAAAGCAGTGCTTATTTGATAAGAGGTATTCAGATGTCAGTTAAAACATAATCGATTTTATTTTATCCATTATTCAAGGTATGAACATAATTATCTTATATAAGCCATCTCACTTCCAAACGCTTTTGGCTGGTAACAGAACCAATAACTAGCTCTTAGAGCGCATAATTGTTTCCCATTTGTGAGTGTTGGGGATGGGGGTATATTACCGGTTTCTGAACACTGAAGTTTATTGTCGACGTACGCCAGAGCAAGGTCGTCGAATGCAATCTGGCTCTTGATACCTTCTTGGGATTCGTAAGCACGGATATATATCTGAAGCCAAATTATAAACAAGAAGTGAAAACACAATCGTTGTTCAACTCGGTGGAACTATATATGGCAAAATATGAATTAAAGGAGATGATCACAGGGAGACTCTTGGAAAGGATAAAGATACGTCAACTTTGTTTTCTAGGAGGGGAAACGTTTTCTGCTTCGTCGAATACGCTTCCCATGTAAATCTAGGTCCAATCCAAATTTATCATCAACAGTAATTCAGAACTATTGTTAGGCACCACAGTAACTTTATAAGATAGATGCACGACCTGGTTGATGTTGTTATATATAGTAACAATACTGTTAGATCTACATAGTATATGTTGTTTATGCATGTGGTTTAGCAAAGATCACCAAAATAAAGTGATAGTTCATCAGTCTATATATTGCTAATATAAATATTACCTATTTCTAAACAATTTCTTTATGTTGGTACGTATGGTTATGAAAAGTTTCTTGAACACAACCAATAAGTGTTTCTATGTGACGTTTCGATGACTAGTACGGTATGTACTCAGTCACTTTCATCAATATTACCTGTTTATCGTTACAGCTGGTGATTGGAACAGTCGCACATTTCCACATGTTACCATTATCGCCAGATCTATTGAACAGGGGATGGTTGTCATGATTTAGTCCAACTTCTATCCTGTTGACATATTGTCCGTACATGTGATACCAGAAGCGGAAACAAGCAACGACGCATGCGCTTCCCATTTTTGGACTGACCAGCCCTGCATATCTGGGTGAGCCATATGTTTCCAGGTAGATGTAATAGTCTGAAAGAAGAGCAGACTCTAAGTACATAGTATTAGAATACACCCTTTCAACATGTAACTTTTGCTGAAGAAATATACGTAAAAACAGTTTTCCCTTTAGAGGATTACTTGATTTACGAAGTAAAGAAACACCTTATCACTTGTTGTGACCGTGTTGTGATTTACGAAGTAAAGAAACACCTATTCACCTATTGTGAACGTGTTGTTGATTGACGAAGTAAAGAAACACCTATTCACTTGTTGTGACCGTGTTGTTGATTTACGAAGTATAGAAACACCTATTCACTTGTTGTGAACGTGTTGTTAATTGACGAAGTAAAGAAACACCTATTCACTTGTTGTGAACGTGTTGTTGATTGACGAAGTAAAGAAACACCTATTCACCTGTTGTGAACACGTTGTTAATTGACAAAGCAAAGAAACACCTATTCACTTGTTGTGAACGTGTTGTTGATTGACGAAGTAAAGAAACACCTATTCACTTGTTGTGACCGTGTTGTTGATTTACGAAGTAAAGAAACACCTATTCACTTGTTGTGAACGTGTTGTTTATTAACGAAGTAAAGAAACACCTATTCACTTGTTGTAAACGTGTTGTTGATTGACGAAGCAAAGAAACATCTATTCACCTGTTGTGAACGTGTTGTTGATTTACGAAGTAAAGAAACACCTATTCACCTGTTGTGAACACGTTGTTAATTGACGAAGTAAAGCAACATCTATTCACTTGTTGTGAACGTGTTGTTGATTACCGAAGTAAAGAAACACCTATTCACTTGTTGTGAACGTGTTGTTGATTGACGAAGTAAAGAAACACCTATTCACCTGTTGTGAACATGTTGTTGATTTATGAAGTAAAGACACATCGATTCACCTGTTGTGTAGTTTAAGACAGAGCACTAGACAAAACAAATATTTCTTCAGCACCACGCGTCTATTTAGGACTCATTAGTGATATTAATGTCAATTGAATGAAAACATGGTTCTGAAGTGCTCCGCAATGTGTAAAAAAAGTAAAAAGAGAAAGGTGCATGTAAAAAATCAAATCAAGTAACAGTTAGATAATGTTTTAATTAACTAGTAATTAAAGGTAGTACAGAGATATCAAAGCAAAGTATATTTGCTTTCGTATTATACTTCACTGGTACATGATATCAATTATATATGTATATATGTCTATATTATAGATACAAGCATAATATCATGAGAAGCCCTATAGGAAAAAGACTTATGCATAGCACAGTAACATAACGTTTGGTTAATAAGCCTTTGTTAAAAAAAAACATTGTCAGTAGCTTTGAATTAATCGCTTAAATGATTAAGAGGCAGGTCACTGACGTTTAAGAATGAATATGTACTATGGGAATTATTTCTAAATTTAATTTCAGGATCTTTGAATGTGGTTTCATGACACAGTAAACAGAATGCCCAATCTTAGAAGTCTCATTCTAACCGCACAGTCGTTAAGGGAAAACTAAAAAATATTTTTTTTTGTATTGAAATTAACAAATATTTAACAATAACTATTTTTTACAAAAGCTCGCCAACCAGTCGTTTTCTGCATGTGCTGCTATTGTGTAAGCCATGCGTTATATTTTTAATTGGCCGTGGACAGTAGACGTTTTTAAAATAAGACTTTTAAAAATAAATAAATTGAACATTGCGTTTACATCTGAGAGAAGCAAATACTGGTAAAATTGGGTAAAATATGGTAGATGATCAATTGATTGATTGAAAGGTTTTACGTCCGCTTCACTACCGAGTAGTTCGGTTATCCAGCAGACGAGGGGTGATCAATACTTGTAAATAAAGAGGACACTATCACAATGATATTGACACATACTGCGTTTGGGTGTATATTATGATGTTACAAAAATCCTTTTTTTTAAAGATCCCTGTCCCACTGGTTCATTTGTATATACTGTAAACTCCCCTTAATTTCGTTTTGGATAACTGCTGTACAAGTGGGCAAAGTCACTTCCGTTTACTAGGTAGCTCAGCCGGTAAGGGTGATACTATAACAATCTGAAGTCAGGGGTTTGAATCCCGGTCTTGCCCCTCTGTATTTTATTTTACACTCAGAACACTATTATTAATCATATTTTGTTTAATTTACCTTCATTAATTTTTCAAAAACGTCCTACAAGGTATGGCTGTATTTTCACAAATGATTTATCAAAGCTTTACTCATGCCGACAAAAAAAGTTTCCATTTGTAGTTACAGCTTTTGGCATTAGTAAGGGGATCTGTAAATACATATGTCAAACCGAAAAAGGTATATATTATAATGGGGATAACGTGTGTAGACAGTTGATGTCGAGGAAGACAATATACCTTTCATCTACAACTTGCTGCAAGAAGGATTCTTGGTTAAATTAATACCACCTGTAAATGATTGAAAAATGCACCATATATATTTTAACAAATATACCCGAAACATCCTATAACCCAGATGGCTATTTTAACGGTATCCTACCCGTATTACTCCCGTCCGTATGTCCTGCTGTAGGTCCAGTATCATCAATACCAGTTTCCCCCATATTTCTTTTAAACATCACTGATGTGTTGGTGTTTTTCCAGTTGCAAAGATCTCGACTGAAGTCACATGCAAACCTGGGGTCGAACTCATTGGCAAAACAAACGGTGACTGTAATACAATGATATAAGTTACTTAATAATAACTTGAAACCAGAAGTTGTCGTCAACTATCACAGCAAACAAAACCCGATCAAAAACACTGAAGTATAGAATTGATTTACACAGCATACATAAAGTAGCTATCATAGGAACTTTACTAAATACATACTTGGTATAAGAAACTTCAACAATCTAAGCTCTATGGTTGGATGATTCGTATTTGAAGTTGAATTGGCATGAAATTGTCAAATACAGTCCTAGAAAAACCAGATAAATAACTGTCAAGATTCGAACCGAGTACACCATCGAACAAAGACAACTTCGGAATTCGAGTTGATAGCATCAGCAAACAGGCACACATTTCGGGCCTCGATTCAGTTACACCATGAAACAAAGACAACTACGGAACTCGAGTCGATAGCGTCAGCAAAGTCAATGTCAGAACTCGAGTCGATAGCGTCAGCAAAGTCAATATCAGAACTCGAGTCGATAGCGTCAGCAAAGTCAATGTCACAACTCGAGTCGATAGCGTCAGCAAAGTCAATGTCACAACTCGAGTCGATAGCGTCAGCAAAGTCAATGTCAGAACTCGAGTCAACAGCGTCAGCAAAGTCAATGTCAGAGCTCGAGTCGATAGCGTCATCAAAGTCCATGTCAGAACTCGAGTCGATAGCGTCAGCAAAGTCAATGTCAGAACTCGAGTCGATAGCGTCATCAAAGTCAATGTCAGAACTTGAGTCGTTAACAGCAACACCCAAGGACAAGTTCAGAACTAAAGTTGATTCGAACAGACAACAACGGCGAGAAGACATTAATTGAATACAAGGAAAACTTTTATAAAACCGGTAGGTAACCTATTGTGTTCTTGAAGTGTAAACGTTCCCTACCGCAGGTCTTATGTTGTAATCCACCATGCTAATACATCATGGTAAGTTTAACTGATTCCGATTGTACTGGCAAATGACACCAGAGGGCGTAAATAATGACTAGGATTGAAACTTTTTATTCTGTTAAAAGAGAAGATATAACATAAGTTCTAGGTATAATCGCAAGACATATTTTTAATTCAAAAAGAGTTATATTGGAATTGTAGGCGTGTCTTTCTCTTTTTCTGCTGAATGAACACATATAATATGGCAGACTTTTTATAGGGAAGTTTCATTTTTAGAAGCTGCTTATTTATTTTTTTACTGAAAAGCATATAAAAAATGTATGGATTACTATGTTTAGAACAGGTAAACGAATTAACTTAAAACAATTGTTACGTTCAGAAAATATTAAGAATTAATATCGGATAATTTTCAAGCATTGATATGGTTTGATCATTATAATTTTTCCCTACATGAACTTTTTGGATTGAGATCGGGCTCGGATAAGAACCAGATTGAGATTAGTCCGGGAGACACGTTTTATCCACTACCTATTTTGTACCCATAATATGCTATTATAGAATGTACGTAACACCGGCCAACATACCAATACATCTACTATATTGCTGACCATACATATTTGTTATATAATACAAAGGACACTTTCAATATTTAATTACCTTTTAAATTTGATCCGAGTTTGATATTGTTTAAAAATAGACTCAATAAACAGACTTATTGAAAAAAGGTGGAAAATATACAAGTCTAATGTATGTTTTGGATTTCCGACATTTAAATGATATTCACTTTTGACGTCATCATGGGGTGCTAAATGGTTATGTAATTTTAATGCCTTAATTAAAGAAATGTTAACCATGTCTTAGATGTTAAGTAACCTAATATTTATATGGAGTAGAAGACATCATGACGGTAGCAACATATAATTCGCCGGATGCTTACCCAAGGCACACATGGGCACTTCCGTAGGATTTTTGAAGATTTATACAAATAAGTCCTATCTATTGTATCGATTTGAGTTTTTACATACATTTAAATATTTTTGTTGTAACAATGGTCTTGTCTCTCATTGTTATTTGTACTGCCCAGGTAAAAAATAAAAGTATTTAAATATTTCTATTTGTAATTTGGAAAGGTTATTATTATATCGTCACACAAAGGTAGCCTATAAGCACACACAAATGGTCAAATAAGTTCTGCCGTCACAAAGTCATTCAATAAACACACAAAAAGATGTTAGGTGTATCTGTCATCATAATAAACTCATATAATTCGTCGTTTATAGTCTCCCATCACAGAGTAACGCAATCAACACCTAAATAAGCCAAATGTGCTTTGTGATCACAAAACAATCAACATGCACAGACTATCACAGATGTTTTATGTATTGTGCCGTCATACAATCACAAAATAGTCAGATGTGTCACAAAGTCAATACACAAACAAAATATGCGATAGTGTGTGTTGTAACACAGACACACCATAAACCAACAATATAATTGAGCTATGTTTCGTTTTCATCTGGAGTCTATAAACACACAAAACTGGCAAGAAAATCCCTTTATATTGTAGAGTTGTAGCATACATCCAGACTAGCTGTTACAGAAATAAACACTAACCTACCTAAACAAATTATCTACCATACTATCAATTTGTAAATAAAAAGGGCATTTCGAAACATTTTGCATATCTATATAGTCGCTTATAACGGTATGACAACATATTCCCGTGGGGCATCAACCATTTGCCCATTTCGCTTGTTCGAAATTCAACGATCATAGTGTATGCTACCGTTTTATATCGAAGTACTGACTATATATCTTTATTGATTTTACTTTAACAAACAAACGCTATCGGTTGACCTAGCTGATTTATCCCAGGTAGGTTATCAGTGACGGAAACACAGTGTTTTATCTGTTTTAGGTTGTAATTTATACTCACTCTGTATAGCTAGGTCTCCTGTATATGAACACGGAAGTAAATACAATACATACCGTACTAAAATATAACCCAATAATGGAATCATATGAAGGTAAATTACATTCTAAAGATTGTTATTGTTTTCTTGAAAGACGTTTATTGTGTACAATGCAATAAACCAGTTTAAAAATGAGGTGAAACTGTCAAGAATGGTTTAATAAACCCCGCTGCTATCATTGAAGACATGTATGTGTTGACAAGAACGTGACAAGATAAAACATGAAAAATGAAGCATAAAATATATAATGTTTAAGCTCACCAAAGATTGCCTGCCAAAGTACAATACATATAAAGCTGTTTTTCATTGTTCTGCCGTCAATCAATTTGCCGATCAGGTGACCAGGTAGACGAGAGTCATTCACATATTTCCATGCATGCGTTTCGTAACTTATCTACCTGCACAAATTGCTATGCACTAGTCCTGCCTGGCCTATAAGTGATTTATTGACCCGCCCTATCTAATTCAACACGGTAAGAAATTTAAATATATATAACTTATATAATGTTATAACCAAATACAAAATAGATGTATTACGTTCATAGCCAAACATGATTTCACATCGTATAGAAGATTTATCTAATATTTGTAGATTGGGGAAACGTGTCGGTCGTTTTTAATATTTGGGGGGAGAAGAGGTTGGTTGAACTGGATTTGACTCTGTAGACGTGTGATAATATCACTCGCACATGACGAAAAAAATTGTGTCAATGAGTAGTTTTCATTCAATAGCATCACCTTAGTTAGTAGAAGGTTTTTATGTGATATTTCCATTATTCATATCGATTATTTGTTAATCTATTCATCACTTCCCCAGTAGGTACAAGTAATTATCCACATAGTTGAGAGGCATGCCATACTTTAGACATATCATATTAATAACCAGCTCGATAACAGCTCGATAACAGATATCTGCTGGTCAATGCATGATCAAACACAATAGTCTATTAAATATGTTTTTTTTTTTTTATAAATACACTATGTATGTGTGATACTGGACGTGAGACAGTGATATCTTTATTTTAATCCAGGTTATCGCCGTCTAACTCACTAACATACTCTTCATCTCATATTAACACTTCGATTGGTTGAATGAAATCACCGAACATATTAAATGAGTAAAACTTGAATATTATCACCAATTGTGATGTCTGAATGACGATGACGTCATGAATCAATGGCAAAGACAAAGTAAGAACTGTATTTTTTCGCTGATTTTCAGGTTGAAATGTGTATATGGGATTAATGTGACGCTTCATGCTTCATGCTTCATTCCATATACTATTTATGAAATGGATGGGCCAATAAATCACATGGAATACAATTTCGTTTTTTTGTGTGTGTGTGATTCGGAACCGACACATTCAACATATAAATAGTTTAAGATGCTGGACTCTTTTGGGAAGAGTACATGTTTTCTACTATCACCAGTGTTTCAAAACTTTCTCCATTTCTTTTATGCGACCTTTATCTCTATATCATATCCATCATTTGATGACATACAGTTAGAAATACTATCACATCGGTCATGTGAAAACAGGAAGTTTGTGATTATGCACTTCCTGTTTTCAAATAGGAATGAGCTGTAGTGGCACAGTTACGGGGCTCATTCAATTTCTGACGAGGAATTAAGCCTGAAAGCGTGTAACAAGAGTAAATGTTGCTATTGATATTGTAAAATGTTGAAAAAAGTTCAAACAAACGTGGAATTAAGTTGCAATGCACTTTGGTTAATTCTTATTTGCGATGAGAACATAGGCCTTTTTGTATACCATCTAAACAGGATATAAGATAAACAACACAAACAAAGTTAACGTGTCAGAAAACATCTTATTTAAAAGCGTCAAATGTATATTTAATGTACTTGAGATCAGTAAATAACTCACAACAGTACACGACGACACCTTTGACGCAAAGCACATGCAGATAAGTTAGATAAGTTTAGAAACAAACGAACCAATGAAATTGTCGCTTTGGTGCTATCGGCCACAGTGTTGTAGATATGACTACAGTAACTGGATGGACGCTGTTTTATAACCAGAAAGTCCGACGAATTTATGTGAAAACAAAGTTCGTATTCGGTTCATCGGGCGTTATAGGTAAATAGCGTTGATATATATATATGCCAATACTGTCCATATTCCTCGAAGAAAATGCGAAGGTCCCTTTTCATTCCTCTCCTGAGTACTATTGGTAAGTAAACATAATATCAGTATGCTAAATACGCGGTGATTTACTTCAAATACAGTATATAAATACACTAAGTATATACAGTAAGTCGACTTAGAAAGATACAACATTTACTGTATCATATGGTTGTTCAATTCAGGACTCATCACTGATTATCATCAGCGTCAAAAGATTGAAGATCTTTGTCTAAAGGGTTCCGGAAGATATGTTGTGATATAGCAGAAGAGGAATGGTGCCTATAAACCATTCGTAACATGATAACAGAACAACTGTTGGCCACAATGAATTATTTATTTTTAAAATAATGCATTATATAAATTGTGAACGAATGCATTCCCAGCATTAAAGTTACTGCCAACCTCGGGTACTGATAGTCCACCAATGGAGACTGGTACTATTAATTCACAAACACAGTTTGATTTAAACAAAATCACTTGAAATATGAAGTTAGAAAGCACACATTTTAAAACACAAGTTAGTAAATCGATGCAGAGAATACAAATATTTTAAAAATTGTTCCTACATGCACAAGTCTGTTTTCATTCTATAATATTGGACTTATAGAGATGGGGATGTCAAGAACATGCCCAGAACACTTATAGGGATGGGGATGTCAGGTACATGCCCAGAACACTTATAGGGATGGGGATGTCAGGAACATGTCCAGAACACTTATAGGGATGGGGATGTCAGGAACATGCCCAGAACACTTATAGGGATGGGGATGTCAGGAACATGCCCAGAACACTTATAGGGATGGGGATGTCAGGAACATGCCCAGAACACTTATAGGGATGGGGATGTCAGGAACATGCCCAGAACACTTATAGGGATGGGGATGTCAGGAACATGCCCAGAACACTTATAGGGATGGGGATGTCAGGAACATGCCCAGAACACTTATAGGGATGGGGATGTCAGGAACATGCCCAGAACACTTATAGGGATGGGGATGTCAGGAACATGCCCAGAACACTTATAGGGATGGGGATGTCAGGAACATGCCCAGAACACTTATAGGGATGGGGATGTCAGGAACATGCCCAGAACACTTATAGGGATGGGGATGTCAGGAACATGCCCAGAACACTTATAGGGATGGGGATGTCAGGAACATGCCCAGAACACTTATAGGGATGGGGATGTCAGGAACATGCCCAGAACACTTATAGGGATGGGGATGTCAGGAACATGCCCAGAACACTTATAGGGATGGGGATGTCAGGAACATGCCCAGAACACTTATAGGGATGGGGATGTCAGGAACATGCCCAGAACACTTATAGGGATGGGGATGTCAGGAACATGCCCAGAACACTTATAGGGATGGGGATGTCAGGAACATGCCCAGAACACTTATAGGGATGGGGATGTCAGGAACATGCCCAGAACACTTATAGGGATGGGGATGTCAGGAACATGCCCAGAACACTTATAGGGATGGGGATGTCAGGAACATGCCCAGAACACTTATAGGGATGGGGATGTCAGGAACATGCCCAGAACACTTATAGGGATGGGGATGTCAGGAACATGCCCAGAACACTTATAGGGATGGGGATGTCAAGAACAGGCCCAGAACATTCTCAGATCATGCAAGACAGCACACGGATCTGGTGTATTTGGTTCACCACTGAGGAATTCGCCACAGCTGGACTCATACAGGTATGTGCGTACGGCGGAGGCTGGGTTTTTACGATAGAGAACACAGTCATTCAATCCTACCTGGAATAAGTTCTTGCTCCACAATTAAGGTACATAGTTTTCCTGGTCGTAGTTTTAAAGACTTTCTAAACTTACGGCACACTTTCTCATGTTTTATGCTATATTTCTCATTTATGAAATTGATTCTTTTTTAACTTATTCCATAGTAAACCTTTGCTAGATATTATAAAAAATAAATAAATATGTTACGACTTTAAGCCCTACCGTAAGTCGATGATAGCGACTACAGCGATTTAGTGACGTTAGCGGTTGACATTGTTGATATTAATATTCATTTATGTTACCCTGTTTCTGTTTGTATCACACCTACATAGATAATATGGCAATTTGTGAATTATAACTTGTTACTGGTACATAAGGTCCAACAATGTTTTTTTTCAAAGTTAAGGGGAGTGATATCCATAAACAGCCCGGAAAGGGTCCATTTTTTCAATATAAAAAACGGCATTGTAATATCACCAAGCCCATCATCAAAAGGCATATCTGTTAACATGCACCACATTTGCATTCAGCCATTGACATTTTCTTGATTTAATTTAAATTGGTATGAAAAAGGGTTAAAATGATATTGATCATTATAATTTATTGTGTGCGTCAACCGGAAGTATCATAAACTAATATTTATACTGAGAAACACGTATCTAGTACCACAGAGTAACACGCCAACCGCAAGCATCACAGAGTAACACGTCAACCGCAAGCATCACATAGTAAAACGTCAACCGCAAGTATCACAGAGTAACACGTCAGTCACAAGTATCATAGAATAACACGTCAGCCACAAGTATCACTGAGTAACACGTCAACCGCAAGTATCACAGAGTAACACGTCAGCCACAAGTATCATAGAATAACACGTCAGCCACAAGCATCACAGAGTAACACGTCAACCGCAAGTATCACAGAGTAACACGTCAACCGCAAGTATCACTGAGTAACACGTCAGCCGCAAGTATCACAGAGTAACACGTAAACCAGTAACACGTCAGCCACAAGTATCACAGAGTAACCCGTCAGCCACAAGTATCACAGAGTAACACGTAAACCGCAAGCATCACATAGTAACACGTCAACCGCAAACACCATAGAACAACACGTCAACCGCAAGCAGCACAGAGTAACACGTCAACCGCAAGCATCACAGAGTAACACGTCAGCCACAAGTATCACAGAGTAACACGTAAACCGCAAGCATCACATAGCAACACGTCAACCGCAAACATCATAGAATAACACGTCAACCGCAAGCATCAAAGAATAACACGTCAACCGCAAGCATCACAGAGCAACACGTCAACCGCAAGCATCATAGAATAACACGTCAACTGACAGCAGCACAGAGTAACACGTCAACCGCAAGCATCACAGAGTAACACGTCAACCGCAAGCATCACAGAGTAACACGTCAACCGCAAGTATCACAGAGTAACACGTAAACCGAAAGCATCACAGAGTAACACGTCAGCCACAAGTATCACAGAGTAACACGTAAACCGCAAGCATCA